GCAGGACAGAGGACTCTCGTGAGAGCGATGCTTTTTCAGTGAAAGAGTCTAAGGGCACGTTGCTATTTTTAGCAGTCATGTCACACTGACGCTCGTAATGAACTTGTTATGGTCAATGAACAGCCTTTAAACTAGCCCAAATTTTCCCATTACTGTTTTTCCACAATGGTAATTAAAACAACTACACCAAAACGGACCTAGTCCATAGGGACTTATGTTTTAACTCTCGTTAAATTCCATCTTACTGGTTGGGGACCTTTATGGAGCCAAAGACAGTTGCAGATCTCAGTCCTGTTATTTACTATATAGAATACAACTTCATCTCGACTCACTGGTAATGGTGATAAGGGCAGGGCCAGTGACAGACTCCTGTGAGATCCATGGCTCCCTTCCTTAGGGTGCTCCCCAGTCCGTTCATCCACTCTGGGGGCTCAAGTTCATCTTGCAGATCTATTCAGCTGTCTCTGTTTATGAACTCTACTGCCCATCTGTGGCACTGGCCTTATCCACCAGTGGAGTGAGCTATCTGACCACAAAATGAGTTTACTTGAGGATTAAGACAGAAGGAAATCCATTATTTGGTAAACTCAGTGTTGACTTGAACTGGAAACTAAGAAGAGCAGGAACACAACCTCTGGTTATCACTAGGGGAAAATAAGATAATTTATTCCTAGATTCAACCCATTTTGTGAAAATGCAGGTCATTAGCTGCACATGCTACTTTGATGGGCAGCGAGGAACAGGCACAAACACCTCGACAGAGTTTCTAAAAGGAATCTTCTGACCTAAAGAAGCAGTTTCTCAGGGAAACTCCCAAACAGTATTTAGGAGTTTTTAAGAGTATCTAACAGTATTTAGGAAGCAAAAAGATTTTTGAACAGAAATTTTTTTTATATTTCAAGAAAATTACTGTGTTTATTTCTTGAATCTAATAAAAAACTAGTGATGTCAGTTATATTTTTGCCAGTAAGACTTTAATTTTCCTAAGGAGAAGGCATCTGCGTATACATTTAAAAAAGATGGTCCCAGCTCACTGCAAGGAACAGGCTGCTACTGATGTTTTTTGCTGCCAAGGGTACAAGCTTGCCATCTAGTGGCGATTATGTAAATGGTTGATCTTAGGCCATTTCTGTTTTGTTTTAAAGCAAAAGGTTCCTTTTTGTCATAAACTATCACATCACATGCGATGCACATAATGGTTCATGTATAAAGGCAGCTGGGGAAACTCTGTACTTACTCCCCTCCCTTCAGAAAGGTTTAGTCTACAGCCAACGTGGGTCCTTAATGTAACAGATGAATTGAGAAATGACTAGGGCTTGGCATATTTGTGTGGCTGCATCGTGTCTTAGTTGCGGTATGTGGAATCTTTAGTTGTGGCAAGTGGGATTTAGTTCCCTGACCAGGGATAGAACCCCGGGCCCCTGCACTGGAAGTGTGGAGCCGCCACTCACTCACTCTCTCATCTAATCCACCCTCTCATCTAATCCACCCTCTCATCCACCTGTCACTCATCCATAGCATCTAAGGACCAGGCCCGATAAAGCAAAAGAATCACATAAAATCACTGACACAATATACTAATTAATAAAATAAGGACTTAGTAGCAATGTGATAATAAAATTATAAGAGCTATTTCTATTAGGTCAGCTCCCAGTTTTCACCTAAAATATGATTGGAATCATCACTGTATATGTGTTTTTTTTTCATTAAAATGCCTTGATCTTTAAGTACTCAGACTTGAGTAAATCATTCATAGGATCAATATAGATCCTGAAGGCCAAACTACAATATTTTTATATTGCTCTTTAAGAATTAAAAATAAAAGTTCTCAAAGGTTTTGCTTATACAATGATACTATATAAAATGAAATCTATAGCTGAAATGCCTACAAATGTAATACATAATTCTTTGCTACTTATTACAAACACTAAACACTTATGAAGCAAAAATTTACCAGCAGTCTAACAATTTAGGGTTTTTTTTTCTTTTGGAGATCTCTTCATAAAATAGTAATGCAAAGTGTGCAGCGGAGCCTTTTTTATTTAAGTTTCCGGTAGTTAGAAATGGATTGTAACTCTCTGCATTAAATTTATTATAGCATTTTTCCAAAAATAGTCTCTGGCTCTACATTTTTCCATTAGATGGTAAATCCATGTCTGGGTAAATAGTGACACTTTAAAAGCAATGTCAAAAATGATGAAAGATGATTGTTACAACTTACAGTTTTAAACAGTTTCATTTTTAGGGATAATTTAATTTTTATTACAAATAAAAGGGGAATAAAAAAGAAGGGAATAGTCACATGGTATCTCTTTATCTTCATAAAGTCCCCTTAAAGGAGACCCAAAGGAGTTAAGTATCTTGTTCAAGGTCAGAGGATTAGCCAGTGTAAGAGTAAAGCCCTTGGTTTTGAACTTTTGTCCATCTGACTATAAATCCTGAGTATGTGATTTTGTGCCTCCCATGATGATTCTTATTTCCACATAAAGGTCAACAGAATGTGAAATTAATAGAAGTCTCAAGGGCAATTAGTAATGTCATACTAATTCTGTTAAAATTATTCTATTCTTCTACCTAGTTTATCCCATAAAAGCTTTATCCCTGCAAAGCTCACCAATCCTTACTACTCTCCTATAGAAAGAAATGGCGATACTGGAGAAGCACAATTACTTTAGTTTTTCATATATATATATTTTAAACCTGAATTATGAATGACTGCAATGGTGTGTGTTTATATATATATATTTTTTCTCATTTCATATATATATTTTTTTCATTCTTAAATTAGAAAGGAAAAAAGGAGAGAAGTTTTATTTTTATTTTTTGGGTAATTTAAAGTAAAATATGTTCAAACGAGCACAGTACTTTCAAAGTATCCTGCAAACTGTCATTTTAGTAAAAGCACAGTGCTCTGTAACCATTTATGTCATTTATAGAAACAGTGCTCTGGTGAGAAGCAGGTGAACAATGGGTGCACAAAACTGAACTGCAAAAGCGGAAAGGAAAATGAGACTTTAATTTTCCATCACTGAATTTTCGGAGCTTAGAGAAATTTTTAAACAAAGGCTCAGTTGTAAGTCCGTTCCCGTGAGACAATCCTACATAAGTCAGGACACAGGAAGAATGAGTGCAGACGAGGGGAAATTGCTGCCATTCATGGAGGCAACTATGCAGAAGAGAATGTTTAGGCTACTGTGGAGATGTGGAATTTGAGGGCCAATTAAGTCAGAACTCCATCATCTGACCTCCGCCACCTTCATTAGCCAGCAGCTCCAAGATTACTAACCTAATTGCAATTAACTGCTTGTATATGCATTTCTTTCTTTCCAATACTTACTTTTATTTGGCTATGCCGGGTCTTAGCTACAGCATGTGGGATCTAGTCCCTTGACCAGGTTGAACCGAGGCCACCTGCACTGGGAGCTGAGCCCTCGCCACTGGACCACAGGGAAGTCCCTGCGTATGTATTTTTGAAACACCTATTTTCCTGCTTGAATGTCCCTCCACGGAGGCACACGTCTTCCTTTTCCCTGGCACAGTCCTTGGCATAGGGCAAGCAAGCGGTAAACCTCTCTCCCCAGTTCACACTTTACGTAATCTGGTGGTTGAAAGTCTGAGGTTTAGAGAGGAGCCGAGCTAGGTTGTGACCTTGACTGCTCCACTTAAGAGTGATGATGGCCTTGAGTGGGTCTTTCAACTTCTAGGCACCCAGTTTGCTCACCTGTAAAATGGGACCGTAATAGACTTTACCCCACATGGCTGTTGTGAAGACGAAACGAGATACTGAGTGTAAAGTGAGCACGGGGTGAGCACAGGGGTGATTCTCCACAGCAGCAGATCTTAGCAGTCATTACTGGGAATGGGAGTTGCGTTGTTCATCTGCTTTTATTGTATTTTAAAAAATATTTACTTATTTGGCTGCACTGGGTCTTTGTGGCATGTGGGATCCAGTTCCCTAATCAGGGATTGAACCTGGGCCCTACCCATTGGGAGCTTGGAGTCTTAGCCACTGGACTGCAGGGAAGTTCCTGTTCATCTGCTTTTAAACTTGAAAGTTCACTGAGATCACGTGCGGGAGCTGGTGGCAATGCAGACCTGAAATTTACATTTTTAACCAGCATCTGGGAGTAATCCTGATGCAGGGCGCCTCTGGACCACCCTTGGAGAAACACTGCTTTAGAAAAAGAATCCTCATTTCCCAGATTTCAAAAGATGGACATACTAATAGTCAAGTAATACATGACTCTTTGGGTTGGATAATGAAAGTAAAAGAACAATTAGCATCTGGAGGCAGGGAGGAATTGAATATATTTCATTAAAATTCCACCCTGAATAGCCAACAAAATTTATATTACTCCCATATTCACTAGTGACAGCTCCCTCATGCCCAGTCTCTGTCCCCTAATTCTTTCAATACCGTCCCCTTAACAATGGGACCGAGAGAGCATGGTGGGGGTGGTGGTAAGAATGTCTCTGATCTGTAAAATCAGACTTTGTCATGATCATTTTTATGCCGAGGGGCTGGGGTCTTGAAATCTCACAATGAAATTTATCCTTTTAGCTTTTAGATCGGATTATTGGGATGTAAATTGGGAGACTAAGTCTAAAAGGCCTTCCATTTGCTTTTTTTTTCCTCCGAGTAAAAGCTTTCTAACACCAAAGTGCTGTCGATAAGTCATGCAAGTGTAAATGCTCCTCGTGACTGTGTTGGCCTGGTCCACGGTCTTAACCACAGCTCTAGATTTCCTGAATTCTTTTCCTGTCCCTCCCTCAGGTTTTTATTTGCTAATAAGTTAAGTGCTCCTAATGGTACATTAACCCTGACAGATCAACTTAAAAGACCAGCTTCCAGCTAGTTACTGAAGGCCAGCTGGAAACAAGCCTTTAAGGGTTTTTTGTTGTTTTTTAAGAAAATGAAAAAGAAGGAAGAGAAGTGTTCATATTCACTCATGCATGAGTGCTTGGGGCTCAGGACACCCTGAAGTTGGAACCCTTCTTACCAGCAGATTCTCTGGTTTGATGTCACGGTGGACGATGTTGAGGCTGTGCAGGTATTTGATGGCGCTGGCCAGGTTGTACAGCATCCCACTGGCATCTCGCTCAGTGTATTTGTTAGTGGAGGTGATGGCATCGAAGAGGTCTCCTCCCTGAGAGAGAACAGCAGAAGTGCATTAACAGATGGTCCGGTGGGGCCCAGCCTGGAGAGGCGCCCGACACGCTATAAACGGACTGAAGGATGTACGTGGGGTTTCTGGGTTCCAAGAGTTTTCCCTGTCACCTCCCTCTCAAAGGCCCAGGAACCCTATGGTGATTCCTGCCCCCACTACGAGAGCCAGTGACATTTCCTCCAGAGCTCGAAGGAAGGAGGAGAGGATTCTCTGCCATTAAACTCCCAACTAGGGGTGGGGAAGCGGAGCTGGGTCTCCAAGGCAGAGACCTTGGGGCACCGAGTATCCTGGTAGCATGTGCTATACCAACTGCCCGCTGAAGTTCAAATTCATAATCCCCAGTCTCCTGAAATGAGAAACATACCACAGACTACACCCTGAACAAAACGTTCTGCTGCCCTGGGAACGTCACACAGACACACACACAATTCTCATCACTCTCTAGATTTAGGTCTCTTGGAGTGGGCGTCATGTCTTCTTTTTCAATAATGTGCCTCCTTGTAAGGAACAGAGAAAAGGATCAGAAACTGTCACTCCAGAGATGAAAGAGAAAGAGAGGGAGGAGGATGGAGACATTTCAAAGAAAGTTTTCTAGGTCCATTACTCATCCAAACTTTGTTTCCACTGTTCTGTGCTAATTTATTGTTATTTGGTGAAGCAAAGATTTCAGGCTCCAATTTTAGATCCATTTATTTGAAGCCCTTTCAGAGAAGTTGGGTCTGATTTACTGAAAACGTGTGCATCCTTTTTGCACACGAGGCCCCAAAGAGCCAAACCTCACCCCACCCCCCACCCTCCCCGCCCCCCGGGCAGAGGCTGACTGTGTTCATCTGTTACCTAAAGGGCTAAGAGATTTAATTTTTTTTTTAAACAGCAAACACAAACTAGAGCACCTGTAGGCTGACCATTTTCAAATCCCATTCCCTAACCTGGCCCTCTGCGACCCCTATACAATCCCTGCTCGGGGGGAAAGGGGTATCTTCCACTGACCCTCAACCTCAGCAGTTCCCGAACTAAGCAGATACATTTTTTTTCCCCCAAAATGAACACTGTCTCTCTCAGTGTCTGTCTCTCAAAGGCAAGGCTGTGCAGCTTTGCAGGTTGCTTCCGTACTACCTGGGGAGTTGGGGTTTGCACTGCAGTCCACATGAACAGCACCCCGACCGTGTGTAGGGCCGTAGGAGTGACCCTGCCAAGACTCCACCACTGTCCTCGTTGTCTAAACTCAAGACAGCCTGTAATCTCATTCCTTCTTCTTCGCCTTCAACAAAGCTGTCAACAGAGACTCTTGGTCCTGCTCTAAGACCTGCCTCTGACACAGCTTCTGGGCTCTCTCAGGCTCTTACTCCAAAGACCCTGTGTACGATCATCACCTCCCACGCTGCAGGCCAATGTTTCCTATCTTTCACTCATGAAATCAGTGTCTGTTCCCATGGCTCTCCCCGCTCTGCCCCCAGCCTTCACTCCAACTTGCTTAACCTCATCTCCTGTCTCACCTGAAGCAGCTGCCTTTATGCTCCACGTAGCGTGTGTCTTCCCTGGTCACCCAGACAGACCAAACCCTCCCCCAACTCCGCACTCCAAGCCCATCCCAGTCTCCTCCACGCCCTTTGTCTTTCTCCCTCCCGCTGATTTCTCAGTGCCGGCCCAAGCGCTGCCCTGACACAAGGCCTGCCTTCCTCTGGACACACAGGCAGTGTGCACGCGTTCACTCCTGCAGCTAGAAGTCGAATTTCACCCTTAAGAATGGTTTTACTGTTCACCCACTTCACTGTTTTCTGGAAAGCAAACCTTATTTATCCAATGGCGTCAGGCCGTCCTGGGCCCCCTGATAAGATTCTCAGGGTTTGACAAGCTAAATTCCTCAGGGGCATGTCATGGGAGCTTTTCAGGTCAAATGTGGGGCTGGCCTTCTGAGATGCTTCCAGACCTGGTCTCACAGCCATTCTCAGTCAGACTAAATGCAGGGGTACGATACGGTCGTGGAGAAGGGAACAGTGACCCACCCCAGTATTCTTGCTTGGAGAATTCCATGACAGAGGAGCTTGGTGGGCTACAGTCCATGGGGTCGCAAAGTATCAGACACGACTGAGCGACACATACACACACACACACACACACACACACACACACACACACACACATCCAGTGGCTCAGTTGAGTCCCAATGCTGAGTTTTGCAGGCACAGTCCAGGCTTGTTAGACTGGTCACCCGGAGAGAATCCACGAAGGCTAAGTGGTACTTTGCTACAGTCACCTGACTAAGCATATTACTGACAATCAGATTAAGCTTTCCCACAAACTTGTGTTCTGAACTATTAAGCCTTTTCCTCTTTTATCTATTATCTTCAAGTTTAATTTTGTCTTAGCTCTCCAAGACCCAGCCAATAACAGGGGGTTGCTAATTAGTTTTTAATGGCACCCAGAGGGGCAGCAGGAATGATTTGAAGCTGTTTCTTTAAAAATTAAAGTCATTGTAAAATTACTATTCTTGGTCCTAGATAAAGTATAATTTACAATGTTGGAATTACCAAACTTTATTTGGTAATAAAGCGCCAATATGAAAATTTTCTGAATAATGAAATTGACCTTTCTTGATTGGAATAAGCGATTAACATTTTTATCTCCCTCAATCTCAACCATGACCATAACCTGGTGTTAGTACAAACTAAAAATCCTTCGCCCTCAGAGAAAAAATCTGAACTTCAAGTAGGAAAAAAAACAGACTTTATCTATAAATATAGATTAATCACTAAGTTAAAAGAAGGCCAATAGATCTAAAACAAAGGAAGTATGAAGAATGAAAGTTTAAAGTCCCTAGAACGAACATTTTTCTATACAGTAAGTGATTGGTTAATTAAATGCTTTGTTGGCCTTAACTCTTTACCGAAGGAAACCCCACATTCCAGCTGCCACCAGCTCAGCTGAGTGATTCTAAGTAGAATTCCTGGAACCCTAGGTGTTCACTGGCACACCCTGATAGAGAAAATGGCTTGACTAATTTACAACTAAAGTAGAAATTACTCACGCCTTTGGTCAGATTAACATAATAGAAAAGCCTTGAGCAAAGTACAGCTTTATGAAAATAAAACATTCAATTTTTAAAAACTTCTAATTAAGAAAATTTCACGTATGGCAGTAGAGGAAATAGGTAGGTTACCTTTCACATAGATTCAACCATCATCAACATCTGGCCATTCCTATGTTATATGATTGAATAGAATAAAAACGTAATTGTGGCAGGATGAGATTGTACCCATCACTGAGAGGCAGTATTCACATTATTATTAACAGGGTACTGTTTTTCTATTACCCTGGAGTCTAAAAGTTCAGAGCTTGTTTTTATAATAATGAATGATACTTTTGGAGTAGTTCCTGGAAAAGTGAGCAGTTTCTGCTGGAGTAACAACAATCTTACTGGCATCTAATACTCTGTGTCACAGAAGCTGGTGAAAGAGATTTCTTTTACCTTCAGAATAACACTCCTAGCAATATCGCATTTCACATAGGAGGGGCCCGAGGTACAGAGTGGTAGATCCAAGGTCAGGGACTATTTCAGTCCGGGCTGAGACTTGAACTATGGGGATATAATTCTAGTGTTAAGACTCTTAAGCCTTTAAGCCAGTGCACAGCAATAAGATTGAATACTGCTGAGACAAAACAAAGGAGAGAGCGCTATCATACAGGAGAGTGAGGTGCCTTATATAGGTTTACCTCTTTTACCAAAACACACACCTTTACTAATTCCATGACAAGATACAGCTCCGTTGGCACGTCCATCTCTTCGATCAGAAGAACAATATTGGGGTGCTTCACTCTTCTCAAGATAGACACCTCGTTCTGGATCATGTGCTCCTGTTCAAGAGAAAATCATCTCCATCAAGACACACAGCAAAACAATGAAGGGCTAACTCAAATCAAGAAAGCCATACTATTTAAGAGCTTCCTTGGTGGCTCAGATGGTAAAAAGTCTGTCTGCAATGTGGGATATCTGGGTTCGATCCCTGGGTCAGTTTCCCTGTAGAAGGGCATGGCAACCCACTCCAGTATTCTTGCCTGGAAAATCCCATGGACCAAGGAGCTTGGGTGGGTACAGTCCATGGGGTGGCAAAGAGCTGGACACAACTGAGCAACTAACACTTAACTTATACTATTTAAAGATCAAGGGAGATATATTTTGGTAAAATATAATAAGTCTATCTTAAATTCTGATATTCATATAGCCTAGAATTGGCAAAAGATATTGAAGGTCCTTAGAAGATGCTTGTAATTTCAGAGCCTACCATGGTTAACTATAACTGCATATAGAAGGATGAAATGAAACTTAGATCACAAAAGTAAGAGAAGAAGTAAATACAAGAACAGAGAGAAGGAACTGAAATGATATCCCATCATTTCAATTGATTTTGATACCAGGAATATTTATAGAATAAAATTATATCCTAATAAGTATATAACATTCTACTCTACCAAAACACAACTCCTAGGGCGAACCTATGTTTATTTGGGGGCTCATCTTGTGTTTTTTTTTTTCTACCTCCAACATAATATATTTTCAAAAGAATAAAACCTTATACATACTTTGCCTCGACACTTGCTTTTCTTGATAATTTTCAGAGCATACTCTCTAGCAGTCGACCTGCAAAGAAAAAGTTTTGTCTTTTAATAAATGTAATTTTAGATGTGTTGAATCATCTTGTTAAGGATTCACTCGTACCCCACTGATCTGGCATCGTGGTGTAAGTTTTTGTAAAAAATTCTCTTTAAAGAAGTATGTGAATTTTAAGGGGTTGACCAAGTGTAAGGGCAAAACAAACATGATAGCTCAGAAATGTCACAAGCTGTTAAGGCTGCCATAATTGTAATAAGGTTACTGCTACTGCTACTCCAAGGGTAACTCCCCCTTGCAGGTGGCTGTGTCCTGCTCCTCCTTCTAAAGTGGACATGAAATAGGGGTGAGTTTCTGCCCTTCTTCTCCATTTCTCTTGAGGTTATCCCCGAAGTGACAGTTTTCTGAATGGTTCTCATGGTCACACTGATAACGTTCAAGACACAGTCTACCCTCTTTAGACTTGGGCTGTGTGCAGCTCTATGTGTTCCAGTGGAGAACTCATGAATGAGGTGTTCCAGGAGTATAGAAAGGGATACAGTCGTTATCTGAGCATCCTGTGACCTCTTGAACCTTTCAAAAAAATATTTATTTATTTAGCTGTGCTGGGTCTTTGCTGTGGCATGAGGGGTCTTCGATCTTCGTTGTGGCATCCAGGTTCTTTAGCTGTAGCTTGCAAACTCTTAGTTGAGGCATGTGGGATCTAGTTCCCTGACCAGGGATCAAACCCAGGCCCCCCTGCATCCACATCAAACCCAGTGTGGAGTCCTAGCCATAGGCCCTCTCATTCGATAGAAATGAAATGGAGGTGACAATTATAAACAGCTCACGTTCCCAAAGCCACCTGGCATTGCTAAAATCAGAACTTGAGTTCTTGGGGTCTCTGCTCCTCATATAGCCCAGCCAACACTGCCCGTCCTCCACTGTGGGTGTGGGAGGGACGGCTTAGTCATACTGAACCTTTAAATAGCTTCCTAACTTGTGTGGACATTTATAAGATACTGTAGTGCCAATAGTGATGGTCTACTGTCAGAGGACACAATGCATACTTAACAATGATCAGGAACCACTACTTCACAATCATTTCTACTTCAGATCTAGTTGGGAAACCAAGAGAGTCTAGCTTCTTACCTATAGATAAAGGCCAATTTTAGGGATACAAATGAATACTAAGGGAGTGAAGTTGATTAAGAACAAAACTTCAAAATAGGGTTTTAAAATTTTCACTTTGGAGAATCGAAGGGGTATTTCCTAGTATGTTATGGTAAGAGCAAGAGAGTGATGTGCCTATAAACTAAGAGACCAGATAGTAACAATGTGTTTCAAGCATTTTAGAAACCATTCATGTTGTTTGCTTCTCTTTTTAAAATATTTATTTATTTATTTATTTATTTATTTACTTGGCTGTGCCAGCCTTAGTTGTGGCATGTGGGGTCTTTAGTTGTGGCATCTGGGATCGAACCCAGATGCTTGCGTTGGGAGCTTGGAGTCTCAGCCACTGGACCACCAGGGAAATCCTCCTGTCATTTACTTCTAAAACTCCTTCTTCCACTGCACTTACAGGACCCTTCATGGTACTAGCTTGCAGAATAAATTAAACATTGACAAAACTGTTATAATTGTATCCAATGAGAAAATCTAGAGGCTTCCCAGGTGGAGCAGGGGTGAAAAACCCGCCTGCCAATGCAGGAGACTAACATCACAGAAGGATCGCAAGGACTCTCTAAGCGGCTCTTTTTAAGAGGCTTCTGAAGAGTTTCATCTGCAAACATGAAAATATTTAATCAAGAGGAAAACTAAAAGCTGAAGTGTTTCTGGGTTCTGCATTTCACAAATCACACACAAAATTATAATGAAGCAAATCTGAGACAGGAATATATGAGCGGTTTCCAATCTAGTCTGGGATGTTTCATCTGATTGCAGGGAATGTGGACTCCAGGACTGAAAGCTTTGACAAGAGCCAGCAGTACTGGGCAGGGCAAGAGAGCCAGGACGGCGCTGACGCTTCTGTTCAGCGCCTCCACACAGGATGGGAAGGTGCTGGGGAGAAGAGCAGGAATTTCTCGGCTGTGTCTTCCCTACGGTTACCACTTGACCCTCCATTTCCCTGGAATGAGCAACATTAAAGCTGTGCTGTACTCAGAACAGAAAGCTGGAGTGGGACTCCAGCAGGCTGACTCCTCCTCTGCAGACAGACACACACGCAGCAGAATCCCCAGCAAATAAGTGAGTGTGTTGGCTTCCAGGACACCAGACAACCAGGTTGTATGCTGAGCCTACAGCTGAGGGGTAAATGCAAGCAAACCTCAGCTACAGCGGCCCATAGCTTCCTAGAAGAGGATCTTGTGGGCTGACTACCCAGAATCTTACAAAATAGGAGTCAACACTCACTCAGATTTACCCACATTTTTTTATCAGACAAAGAGCCCTGTGGAGGAACCACCAAAATTAATACTGCAAGTTTTTTTTTTTTTCCTGGATTCTTTGAGAATAGAACTATAAAGTCATAATAAAATCCTTAATTGCTAGGAATGCATGTTTATAAGGAAAGAGGATGAATCTGGAATATAAGACTAAAAACAGGTGTTAGGACTAAATGTCCACCATAAGAATAAACAGTTCATGACTTGCTTTCAGTTGGTAAAAAGAAAACATTTGGCATGAAATAAAACCCCAAACAAGTATCTGCCTTCCTCCATACTCTAAACACTGAGGACCGCTGTGCCCGTGTCAGCATCCAGTAAGCAAGAGCGTGGTTCTTTGTCGGCTACACGGGTGATAAGAGACCTGGCCTTTGACCTCAAGGGACTCTACAGTTCGGTGTGTGGTGGAGAGAAGACACCTGGATTGATGCGGAACATCCAGGCCATTTGCGTGTATGTTCCTGAAATTATAGCCTTGACCTTTCACGCAGTCACGGAACCCTCAAAGGCCACAGCCAAAGCGGCAGCAGTGAGACGAGCTGTCTCTTCCTCCTTGTGCAGAGGGGTTGTTTGTCAGGTTACGTTCCTATTCAGTCAGACCTCAGGCCAGAGCTCCAACTGCTAGGGAGAAATGTCTGAACTTTACAAACTGGAACTAAATCTAGCCTTTCAGGGTTGTACTGACAATGGTTTGGAGAACGCCATCCTGTTTAGCGCAATGATTCCGGGCCCCAGGACAGTCTTCTTCTCACCCCTTCTTCCCTCAGCCCTGGAGGGCTGCAGAATGCTAATGAAAAGGGCACTCTGGACCAAAGGGACTTTTGTCATTTGCTCTGTTTTGAAGATTTTTATGAAGATTATGTGGAAGAGGAAACACAGTCCCCCAGGCATTCCTCTGCCACAGCCCTTATTGACTGTCATGGCGATCCTCTGCTTATGGGTGAGGTCCTCAAGCAGAGCGGCGGTGTCCTGACTCTCTTTGTGCCTCGGGAATGCCCAGCAGAGTCCTGAACTGGCAGGGCCTCCAAACACATTGGTGGAGCTGGGAGAACTCCAGAGGCTGGTGGCGCTTAGGACATGACAGGGAGACCCTGTCTCCTTGAGGAGTGAGTCCATAGCACCCTTTGTTGACCCAGTAATCAAAGCTAAATCTCAGCCTCCCCTGTGAGCAGAGAATGGAGGCACCCCAGAAGTGTCTTGTCAGACAGTTCCGGAGTGGAGCTGTATTTTGAACTTGAACTTGGGCTCTGTGGCTATCAGGGGCCAGAGCATCCTTAGGGAGGAAAGAACACTGTCAGCTGAGAGACACTTAAAATCTTTCCCACTGAGTCACCCTCCAAATCCCACTTCAGAAGCAAATGCCTCCAATTATAGCTATACGGTTCTTCAAACATCTGAGGCCTTTCTAGGTGGACGCACCATGTCACTGATACTGCAGTCTCAGCTCATTCTTGTGGGTTTGGTCCTATCTCATACCATTGCTGGAGCCAAAGCTTTCAACGTGTGGTTCTTTTATTTTATCCTATTAATTTTTTTTTTTGTTTGACTGTGCTGGGTCTTCGTTGCTACTCAAAGGCCTTCTCTAGTTGCAGTGAGCAGGGGCTACCCCTCGTTGCGGTGTGCAGTCTTCTCATTGTGGTGGTTTCTCTTGTTGCAGAGCATGGGCTTTGGGCACATGGGCTTCCATAGTTGTGGCTCGCGGGCTCCAAAGCACTGGCTTAGTAGTTGGGGTGCACGGGCCTAGCCACTCCGTGGCATGTGGAACCCTCCCAGACCAGGGATTGAACTGGCATCCCCTGCACTGCCGGGCAGACCCCTAACCACTGGACCACTGGGGAAGCCCTCGATGTGTAGTTCTTTGTGTCTCCAGGTGGAGCAGGGAGAGATGGAATCATGAGTGGCTACAGTTTTAACCGAGTTGAATCCTGTGCTGCCAAAACATGCAAGCAGTCAGGTGGGAAGGAGGGCCGGGAGCCACCCGAGACACTATGCCTGCTCACAACCGCATCACTGGTACCCGTGGCTTGACTGGTAATTAATCCACACAGAGCCAGGAAGCCAGGGACGAAGGGCACCTCATCTCAAGCCCTCTATCCATCCTCGGACCTCGTCTTAGCGTATTTCAGCTTTATGAGTTTTCTTTGAGGCCTCTAAAGGCTCCACAAAACAGCTTCTAAAGTTCATCAGCATTCTTCAGCACATCCTAAGGGCTCCCGAGGCCACTGGAGACGGTGCTGCAGGGAGACAGGCGGAAACCGAAATGGACCTGGCAGGTCCTAGGATGGGATGTGCTGACACAGAATCGGGAGGGATGCAATGTCACTGCATCCATTGCTGCAGGAAACCCTCCCCTGTGACAGGGCACTATTAACAGGAGGGGAGGACATGCTCTTGTTCATCCACATCTATCCTTCCAAATATGGCAGAATGTCCCCACACAAGCAGTGTGTGCCACTCAAAACATTCTTAGCCCCCTTTTACTTTCCTGGACCTCTGGAAAATATTAAAAGATTGTTATGGGATACTTCTGAGGACAGGGGGCAGCTGCCATATGTCCTGGTTCAGCGGGAGTTGAATACTAACACTTCGGGGAGCAGCCTGGTGCTTAGACTCTGAAGGCTCGGACAAGGAGACCCGAGATGCGAACTCCTGCAAAACGAACACAATCTAAACCAGAAAGAAAGAAATTAATCTGGGATGAAGAAATGAGAAATTTCTATCTGGGAAGACCAGGACCGCAGGACTAAGATGCCAGCATGATCTGAGGACAGGCACACGCCAGACTCAACAGATGATGCCCCTGGCAGGGAACCAGGCCCCCGCGGGGGAAGAGCACCGCGATGCTGGACACGGGATTTTCTGCTGCAGCACACATTATGTTTAAAGGGGTTGGGTTTCCTATCAGTAAAAGCACAAATGGGAAACAAAACTATATACACACACACTTCCACCCATTACTTTGAGAATGGCTTTCCCGATTTCACTTCTGTCTTCTCTGTACAGGGACAAATGTGATGTGTGTGATTTTGGCCCTGGTTGGAGGCAGGAGGCAGCAAAGCTCTGCTTGGAGGCAGGAGGCAGCAAAGCTGAGTGGTCCAGTGGTGTGGGGTTTGGAGCTGAACTAGCGTCCATGCCTTGCCAAATAGAAATACTTAACTATCTGAGCACTTACTGACCTGGGCATTTAGCTTCTTCAGGCATTCTTTATATAAAATGGAAATAGTTCCAACGCCATGGTATTATGATGATACATCAATAAAATATCCTAAGTTAAGGACCCGGTATATAGTTTACATTCAGTCAACAGTGGTTGCTCCTGTTTGGGGAGGCGTGAGGTCCAGAAAAGTAATGGGACATTTTCTACTTTGGTCAGTCACGCAGCAAACTGTCCATCTTTGTGGTGGGAGTGGGGGACACAGAGAAGGAGGGGGAAGAAGGCCTGGCAGGGTCAGCTAAGGCGTTTCTCAAGCTGCCCATCACTCATACCTCTCCCCACCAAAGAGTGGCTGCTCTAGGGGGCTGCGACCATGTCCGCGGGAATGGCTTGGCCCAGCTGGTATGCAGGGAGTGGCACAGTGTGAGACCCACTGCTCCAGGGGAGCCTAGCGGGGGCTCCACTGCCTTAGTCAGGCAGAGGGTGAAGGGAAGCGATTCAGTGGACACTGGCCAAACTCAGGACCCTCGTGTCTGAGGCCCAGGCAGACATCCAGCTCAAAGATGACTTGAATCTTTGTTTCGAAGTCAAAGGACTTGCAGAAAAATAAGTTCTGGATCCTGCAGGTTAGAACTTTTAGTCTGAGGCATCTGCTTCAAATGGAGGCAGAGCTTAGAGCCTTCGTGTTGACAACTCGGGCGGGTGGGTCGAGAAGAACATTGGGGGAGATGTCCACCCTGGAGGCCCCTGGAAGCCAGCAGACACGCTCCCATAAGGAATGAGGCAGGTGCCCCCAGCTCTCCAATACCCTGCTCACCAGCCCTGAGAAGAAGCTGCTGGCCAATTGGGTCCTCCTTAAATAACAAATTCCAACTCTAACGCTGGGCTCAGGGTTTCAGGTGGCCTTAATCTGGGCTATAACTATTACTTGTCACTTCTCCAACTAGTAGCCCCCTGTTACTGTCCTTAATTAGGTACCGAGATCCTAGGGATAAACCCTTCACTCTAAGCCCTCCCCTTTGGCCCACAAGAGCGCCTGGCTCATTCATTTTAAAACATTTTAATGTATTAAATGCCATTTTTTGTGGGGATCAGTACAGTTGCATTGTGAGGCTTTTTGAAGTTCTTATATTTAATTTTATGACATATACATATGAAAAATATATCAATATACCTAAGAATGTTCTGACATTTACAAAATGTCTCCCCAAAATGTAGAAAAAACTATTAAGCTTGTTTTTTTTTTTAAACAAAATAAAAGGACTTACCTGAAAGAGCTGGCAACATTTTGCTGAGTACATTAAAGAGAAAAATCAAAGCTCTTAATTTATAGATTGTCCCCAGAAATCACTACATTTTTCAAATCTGTTGTTAGATGAGCTGTTCTTTCTTTTACATTTTTTTTAACATCTGGAGTTGAGACATTAACCTATTCCATATGTGCCTCAGACCGCAAATAAAGACACAATCTCGGAAAACATAACCCCAAGTGTTTCCTTTAAAGCTCAATGCAAATGGTATCTTTCTCACCTTTCTACACATTCCTTGACAACAGCAAAATTTCCATCTCCTATTGTCCTTCCGACTTTATATCGTTCTGTTATTGTGGCCGGAATCTGGAAGCCTTCCTCCGACACTTCTGAAAGAATCATTAGTATGTTTTTATTAGTAGAAAAGGGAACACAGATGTTGTGCATAGAAGACGTTTAGAAGTATCATCTAATAGACTGGCACTGATTCAGAATCAATATGTCATTTTCTGGACAGGCAGGCTAGTCTCCCACCCCTAGCCCCTCTCTGACATTGTATAATCAACTGTTTCTACTAAGACAAATGATCAACTAAAGGAAATGTAAAATCTATGGGGTCCACTCCCACCTATGTAAGACCAGCTAATGCTTTCTGCTGAAGCGGGTTGTCTGAGGAGGAAGTTTTGCTTTTCATTTCATGCCAATTTGATCAATAGCATTTATGAATACCCATGGTGTTCAGAGAGATGACATTCCTAGGTAGGGAGGAAAATGCAGTTTGTAAGGGACTCTGGACCGCTTGACACCATACAAGCATGAAAAATGCCTGCTGTTTGAACACTTAGCTTTACTACATCCTGAAATAGAGATCTCCGTAAAATTCCTTATGTTAGAACTAAGCACTGATCACCACCCCTCCCCAGTATCAATGAGCAGATTTTGGACAAATGTTTTCACCAGCAACCTGCGTGGCAGATGTTGAGTTAAAATTGCAGTATCTATTATGTCTGCGAACAGAACAGTTTTGTAGTTTCAATTATGTTGGTGCCACTAACACAACGTATTTTCCCCCTTAAAATGCATTTTGAAACATTTTACAAATGCCTAATAATGCTTTAAATATCTAAGGTCATAAAACTAAATAAGCCACACTTAGGTCACATAAATATAGTGGATAACCTTTAACATCTTAGGGGTATAAAAAGCTTTTATAGCTGGGCTCTAAAATTTACATGCTTTAAAGTTATAAATCCTGGCTTCTCCCTCAGGCAACCTGGATACAAAATGTGGTGGAAGCCTAGTGCGCTTTCTAAATGTGCTCCTTTTCTGACCTTTAATCACAAACCGAAACTAAACATTTCTTCTCAAAATAAAATTAAAACCTTAGGTGGCAAAAGGGCTTTCTGGGCGATTTTCGTGTTCTCATTGAGTTGAGTCTGCAGGGCTGGAGAACGGTCAATAGAAGCTCACAACCAGCAGGCATCTGCTATAGGACCTTTACTTACTCTGTTTTTGCAATCATCTCCACCCTGCACCACTCTGGATGCTAGAATGGATGGGATTTCTGAAAAGTATTGTACAAATGTAGGACATTTGCTGCTGCTGCTTTTGTCTTTGGCGTTTTGCAACCTCTTCACCCTTTAAAGGTGACATTTTACTTTTAACCCACTAGAAGGCATCTCAGAGGTGTCCAAAGAAAGTGAGAGTTGGAGCCTTCCCTCCACTCCCCGCTCCATCTCACCCCAAAGAAGCCATCATTTTGCCTCTGTCTGAAAGATGCAGCCTAGGGATTTTTGTCTGGCCTATGATTATTACAGGAGATGGTTGGAGAAGTTTTAAAGCCACTGTAAAGCACCCGAATTTACAAAACATCTCTCGGATGACACGGTCTTAAGGCTCTTTCCTGCACAGATAATAAAAGTAACCATCCTTGTCTGTTGGAGGCAAGTCTGGTTTCAGATGGGAAATGGAAGGAGATGCTTCTATGTTTTCATGAAGGGAACACCCATCTGGAGCACATGGCTTGGTTTCTTTTCCCCTGACTATGTAAAAAGGTATCTTTTAGGCCTCTGATTAAGAAGACTTAGCCACTGGCTTAGTCAAGGACCCTTTTGTTTCATTATAAATAAAACACATTGGAACAAAAGAAGACTTCTGGATGGCTGCATTTCATCCTTCTGGAAATACCAAAAAAGTCTGATATTGCATGGTAGTCAGGAAATAATCCTTGGGTCAGTCATGTATCTCATGTAACATAATGAAGTGCTTCCCCCAAGTGGGACTTACTGGAAAATTAAATCCTATCCCTTCAAACAAATAAGGGGTGCTGGATCGATAACAGTGGCTTGATTGTATCAGTTTTATACCTGAGTTCCTAAATACTTTCCCATAATTGATTTCAGCCTGATAATAACCTCCAGGGAGGAAGCAGGCATGTATGAGGATACAATCTCCATTTCATAGAAGAAAAATTAAGATGCATAGGGCAGGAAAGGCTCATCCAAAACAATCCAGGAGTTAGCAGGAAACACCCATTCCACAACCTGAGTCACATGACCACTGTCTAAAGTGAATTCGCTGGAGGTCCAAAGAATATTTTTGCCATTTGCCATGAATTCAGTCTTTTTGTAAAGACAGATGTTCCCATTTCGACTCTACTGAAGTCTGAGTGCCTCTGCAGGGCTCTCTCAGTCAGAGAGAGTAAACATGTCTCTCTTGTTGCAGAAGTGAACCGAATTTGGAAAACAAAGGCAACAGTTAGCCCCTTTTATCTGCAAGGAGGGCAAGAGCTGGCCTCCTAAGGACGCTTACACCTTTGGAGGGTGGGAAAGGTCTCCACATTTGGCTGACCCCTTCTTCCCAGCCCCCAGAGAGTAGATACCACCCCTGGTGAGAGCCACGTTCAGTCCCACCCCCTTGCGATGACCCTGAGCTGCTTCAGGGTCATTCTGCTGGAGAAATGTCAGCTTTCTGGACTAAATTTAGCCAACCCATTCTCCGTCGGGGTACAGGCTACGCCTTCTCCTCAGACACCACGTCCCAAGCTTACCACCTTCTCCGGGTCCGTCGTTCTCGTCCATTGAGCTGCAGACTTTGGTGGATGCGAGGGAAGTGGAAGAGCCGCCATGCTGAGAGCTCTGGAGGAAAACGGAAATAGAGGATAAAAACTGTCCATCCTGCCCCATGTCTCCAGCTGCTGTGCCCAGCCCAGAAGCTCGGGCAGCAACTGCGCCCGCTGCAACTGAGGGGACCGGTCTCTACGCCCAGAAAGGGAGGTGCTCGGACCACTCAACTGGGACCACCGCTCCCCACCAGCTTCTTAACCAACGACGGGTGGTATTAACCGTGCCAGGCTCATCCTTGTCGATTTGGACGTTCCATGACCTTCATTCATTTTCTCAAAATTAGCATCCTTTTGCTCACTGTTTAGGTTTGGCAGATTTGAGGTGTCTCACCTCACTCTTCCATAGTCTATCTGCAAAGAGGCTTCTTACAAGTGGTCACTCTGATCTCTTTTTTTTTGTTTAATTCTTACCATAGAAAAATTTTTTCTTCAGTTTGATTTTTATGGAATATCCTTTTAAAAAATATTCAGCTTTGCCACATCCTTGGGGAAAGATTAAAGAGTAGGTTTGTTAATTCCACTTTGTGATAAAGACATAAGCACTAAGCAAGTTATTGATATGTTAAATGTTACGTAACAAGAAACATTTACTTATTATAATTACTTTTCTTCCTGAGGCAAAGGTGAAACTAAAAGCCTAAGCCTTGCGATTCAAATTTTGGGTGTATTTGGACTCAAGATTGAGAGCAAACAGGGTAACAACTGTATTATAAAGCTCAGTGTGTGTGATAAGTCGCTTTAGTCATGCGTGACTCTTTGCGGCCCCATGGACTGTAGCCCACCAGGCTCCTCTGTCCATGGGATTCTCCAGGCAAGAATACTGGAGTGGGTTGCTATGCCCTCTTACAGGGTATAAAGCTCTGAGGACAAAACAATACCAAATATTTAATACTGGGATCAGCCATGATGCAGTATTTTAACAATGAATCTTTCCATCTCTGCATCTATTCCTTGAGAAAACAATTTGCACATATCAATGCTGTTTCTAAATAATGAACACAGCTTGTCCTAAAAGATCCTCCTTCTGTTTCCCTGGGTTTATCCACTTGGTTGGCCTGATGGGAGGCAGGAGGCGGTGAGGGGGCGGCATTGGCTCAGGGTGCCGGTTGTCTGTGGAGCAGAGAGAAGGGAGAGAGAATCTGTAGTTGAATTAACAATGAAGAAGTGGCGAGAAGCAATGTTGACCTACTTTTCCTCTGCTTACCTGTCTCCCTTCAACCTCCTCCCCATGCCATCCAGCCTTAAGTGTGCACAAAGTTGGAAGAGCTTTACATACAGTCATTGTGCCCAACAGCACCTTGCATAGGAAATTCAGACTTCAGTTTTTACCCAAAGGATGAATATAACTGGGCAGATGCTACTTCAGTCACTGCCGGGCCATTTGGGTCAACTGCACAGCGTTCCCCGGGGTGTGTTAAGACGACCACGTTCCGTGGGACAAGTTCATCAAAGCTGACAGCTGCCGTAATGGGGGCAAAAGTGAAACTCACAGCCGTGACACACCTGCTTCCTCCTAAGGCTTTCTGGAAGTTTGGTGGTTACTCTAGACGTTTGGTGGGTAGTCTAGAAGTTTTGTGATTATTCTAGAAGTTTGGTGGTAGTCTGTGTCGTGTGCCCTTTATTTTCCAGTATTTTAAGAATCCCCCATCCATTAGCCTAGCCTGGTGACTTGAGCTGTTTCCATCCTCTGCTACTCCACCTCCCCTTGTGGCCAGCAGCACCCATTTGCCCTATGTCAGGTCAGAAAGAGGGATTCAGATTGTGACCCTGTCAGATGGCTGTGATGCTAACTGTAGCCACAGCCAACTCTGTCGAAGGCACTGTGAATGTATGAGCCTCTGAGCGTGCTCTTTTATGAATGTCTGTTTGTGAAAACCTTGTATTTATAGTATTGGAACAGGAGGTTGAAACAAGGCAGATTTACAAGGTCAAGGTCTGGAGAAAAGAAACATTAGCGCTACCACATTTGAGGGGAAGGTGTGTGTTTTCCAGAACAGGGAGATCTTTTATCCCCGGGGTCACTGCTTTTGCTGTAGACATAATCCTGTTCCAAGCAGAAAAACAGTAAAGAAATATTTACAATGTAGACTTTCTCTTCTGAGCCTTTCAATCCTTGAATTTTTTCCAGCAGCATCACAAATGGTGTTTAATAATGCAGACACATTGCGGTTTGGGGTGGCAGGTGCTGTCCCGTCATATGGTATTTTAGAACACAAAGACACATTCTTTCAGAATCAAGCATTCAAATTAATAGATTAGTAGCGTATTTCCTAGCAAAGATGCCTACAACTTATGGACTCAATTCCAAAATCTTGTTCTTTTAATAAGAACACCAGACACTCAACACAGAACACTCACCCAAATAATATGAAAACATTCTTTTAAACTGTAATGTTTAATAAACTTGCTGGATATTGTTCACTAAACTGCCTTATCAATGAATGAATTACATTTTCAACAGTGCTACCAGTTGTCTGATGCTCTGAACACTTCATTGCCAGCTGGGTTTTTCTCTGCCTTATGAACAAAACCCCTCAAGGTTTTAGGCTCTGGTTTTAAAAAAAAAGTAGGGTCAACACAAGTCTGCTTATGCTTAAAATTGCTTATTTTCAACTTTAGTTTTCAGAATGTACTCCAGGTCATTTCAAATTTCACGCTACCTGAAGGTAACAAACAATGTAAGAGAACATTTAATTACAAATATGGTACTCTAAAAATGGAAAGTTCTCATTTCATTCACTATGCTCAAATACAGTAGAATAAATGTATTCAATTTCTCATTACTTCTGCTTTTCCCCAAAGAAGTAAGGTGGTTAAACGTTATACTCCTTTCCAAGACAATGGCCATTCATGGATTCAAAGAATTTCAGGGACTGAAATGGACCTTAAATATTACCTCTTCTACCCTACTTCCATTGAGAGACCAAATGCCCACTATAAAAATCCCAGCCACGTGGTCAAATGGCCTCTGTGCAGACAGCTGCAGTACTGAATCCGTTATTTCCCGAGGCAGCCCGCTGACTGTTAATAAGGCGAGTTATGTTCAAGTGATGTCCCTTTACTTTTTCCACTTGTCATTCTAATCGCTCACCTCTGGAGCCGCTCAGTACAGCGCATGTCCCGATAGGACAAGGCTTCCAAAATTTGCAGAGAGCCACTGAACCCCTTCTGTGCCTTCTCTTTTTCTTCCCCCAATTATTTTTATTAGTTGGAGGCTAATTACTTTACAATAGTGTCTTCTCTTTTTCAATTTCAGTAATCCTAGTCTCTCTGGTTATTTGTCGTAAGACAGGACCCCATGACCCCTTGATCCTCCATTCATCAATATCTCTGGTTAATGCTGGTGCTCAAAGCAAATGAAATATTCTAGGTGTGCCCTGACCAACACAGAACAGAGAAGGGTAGTGTCTTCTTCTTTGTGAATAGAATACCAATGCATTTTAAGATCATATTGGCTTATAGGTAACAACATAACTTTTAAGCCTATACCGTGTCAGATCTCCATATTCTGTATTTGAGAGGTTAGTATTTTGGGTCGAGTCTAAGACTTCTCAATTATTCATGTTAATATCAAACTTATTACATTCATATCCTTCCAGCTTGTTATTTCCTCGATTCTCATTTTATTACCCAACATATTGCTCTCTCTCAGTTGAAGCCATTCCGTAATCATCATGGCCCTCTATGTACCCTTGTTACTACTCCTAAATATACTACCTTAGACAGACTGTGAACATTTTGATTATTGCCCTAAGTCTGATTGAAGGATTTTGAACCTAATAAAGGGGAAATGTGTAGTTCATGTTCCTTAGAATTAACCCAATGAGATGAATCAGTCTTTATTTATGACCTACATAGAGCTGAAGAGTCTGCTTATATTGTGCCATACTTATAAATGAAATCAATTTACTAATTTTTTTCACAGAACATAAACCATTTCATAGTATACATGATCATAAGATTTTGTGTTTGCTTCAGTCGGTTTGCTAATTCCAAGGCATATAGTGTACAGTGAAAAACATAGTTATTTTAGAATTTAATGCAATTGGCTGCTCTAAGAGATACTGTGACATTTGTAATGTCATCACCTCGAAGCAGATTTAATGGGAACCAGGTGGACAGGTTGCTGGCACCTGGATGCTTTTATGGCACACCTTCATAAAAGCGCTGCCCTAAGTAAGAACACATCCTAAGTGTAGCTATTTAGCTTGGGCTCATATAACAGATGGAGAACATATCACACTTTTTGAAGTGAGAAAGCTGACATAACAGTTCTAACCACATTTTACCAAGATGTATCTGATGACTATGTGATACAGAAGTTCACTTCAAATACAAACGGTATGAGTTACTCCTGCCATTTGTATTCATATTATTGGTGTTACTCAGCTGGGGTCCACACCAAATAAAGATTACAGGAATATCCAATCGATCCAACTGATGTAAGCAAGGGAGAAAAATTTCACAAGATAACTTTAGCCCTTTCTTGATAATTGCATTGTTTCCATTTCACATTTTGTCCTGGCGTATGGTTATTACTTTGGTAAATTTTTTTTTGGGGGGGGAATGGCAATATAAGAGTTTAAACATCAACTGGATCAATTTTATAAAGGAAACACAACCAACAAATAGTTAACAAACTCATAAGTGTCTTGGTGATCCTAACTTGAGGTCTGTAGAATCTCTAAAGATGACTTCATGTAGCAAAATTAATTCATAATCTTGGTGTAGAGAGCTTGAGACCCAAGGGACTGTGTGTGCATATAGAAAAATCATACATTTACTTTGCAAGTGGGTAAAGAACAACAAGCTGATGACATCAATATGCAATAATTAACAAGGCTCCATTACTTGAAACAAGGCACAAAAGAAATTCCTTTCCCGAAATTCCTTTGTCTGCATTCTCCATAGTATGTTTAAACCTAACGTTTATGGCACAGGCAACCATGTGCATAAATCAGAAAGCACAGTGAAACATATAAAAGGTTATCATAAACAAAGTTTTTAAAAGAC